TGGGACGGCTATGGAACGACAATGGTGGACGTGCTCTCTATGTGGCAAGATGAAGGAAAGCTCCAAGTAGGGTGTTTGATGATGGATATATGATAAAACCTGTGTATGCAGCTATACAGCCATACAGTTCGGCGTGCGGCTAGACAAGTAGATATATGCCTGTAATAGTATGAGGGTAGAGCGACTTCGGCGAGAAGATTATAACAACTTTTTTTTTTTGGTATACACGGGAAAATTCCTATTCATCGCGTCGAGTACAACTATGGCCCCCCTCTCTAGTTGTGCACATGTCGTGTTTTGATGTAATGGGACAGAGAGGCGTAGGTTCAGCAGGCCTCCTTTATGTTCAGCATAGGGTTCTTCGCACGAGCTGGAGCCGACGTTTCAACGTTGCTTGATCAGAAACAAAAAAGGCTCTTTTTTGTTGAGGCAAGATTTGGAAAAGTGCCGATTGGAACTAAAGAAGATCGGCTGGGTAGGGGACCCTGGACGCCCACGACCTGTCGTGTCACCCACTGGCAAGGGTAATTAAAGTCTTTGGGGCTCATCGGGCTGACCAGATGACTGGTCGCACCTGTGATGTAGGCCCTGAAAGAGCGGAGTGCTTCGAATTAATATATCCAAGCTTAGCTGCGTGACTAGTCGGGCACAATATGGCTGTAGAGTCTGGTGCAAACGCTCATCTAATACCGCATCTGCGAGTGTCCGCCATGCATGCAACGCATGTCCTGGATGTACATATGTAGTGGTCATGTGTCAGATCCTGACACCTTGCCCATTATCCTGAGATGATCCGTTTGGCAGCAAGCGGCATGGTACGGTGCACTCATCTTTCTGTACGTGGCAGCAACTTTGTCTGAATGTGCCTAGGCAGACCAACCACACAACGGGCAAATGCAAGAAGAAAAGCTTTCATCCACCTGCAGACAGGGAGGGCATCATTCTCCTTTCTGCTGTAACTTGTCTGACACTAGGGTCAGGTCAAGCCGCGTGCTGCGGCGCTGCAGGTTGCAGCGTGTCGCTCTGGGTGCTGATTGATCAACGCCCGGAGCCGTGTTCTAGAGACTGATGGATCGCAGAGGCGTAAGGGTCCGGGCCTGGTTGGAGATGTGATGACCGGCCCCTGTCCCTGCAAGCCATGGCTGATAAAGAGGCCCACAAGCTTGGCAATCGTTTCAAACGCAAATCCCGACGTCCGCAGATCGAGGGTTGCGTGGGCGAAAGTGGAGGAGGACCAGAGCAGAAGGACTCGTCTAGCTTTTTGACAGCATCACCGGTTAAAGGCGTTGGCCAGCCTATCTTGGCTATCCGGATCAATTAGCACCAGATAAAGTATCAGCTTGGCCGATTAACTTCGGGGCATGTCTGATTCCGTTGACTGATACAGCGCTCGTCTTCTTGGTTGTGCAGTAAGTGACCACGGGGGTTTGGACACCTTACTCTTACCACTCAATTCGTCCTCCGTCCAATTGTATCCAATTGACTTCCTGTCCATGTAGACTAGCCTTGTTGTTTTAGAGTACTGGCTGATGAGTCTTGATGCCAGACATAAATCCAAAGCAGGGCAAGAACAACAACGACAACAACACCGCGCCCCTAGCAGAGAAAAAAAAGTCACAAGCGCGAGATTCCTCGCTGAACCATGGTTTGACACCTCATTCTTTCATGCTTGACGCTGCATGCACGCCGTTAGACCAACTCGCCAGCTTGCCCACTTCTCGGATTTGTGCCTGGCCTGGTGCCGAGGAGTTGAAGCCGTTCCACAATGTTGCATAATAGCAGAGAAAAAATTGCTACTGTCGGTTGAATCGTGTGCCACCAGCACGGAATTGTACAACTACCTACTAGTAGTTAAGATAAGTGACATGTGCATCCAAGTGCAGCAACTAGATTAAAGCGGCCATAACGTGGTCAAAGAGTCGTGCGCACGGGTCTGGACCTTCAGGCTGATCCTGGCTAGATAGGCGGCAAGTCTCCAGTTTACTTCAAGGTATTTCTTATTTTATTTTGTTGGCGTGGGTAGGCAGCATTATGCCCAAAGAAGAGCCAGATATTCAGTTTATGGGTGACTTTTGTTCCCGTTCCTTGTTTCTGATCTACTTTGCAACAAGAGTTAACGGCCTCCACATTTGCTAGAGATGATGCTCCGTTGGCCCGTTTCTCCGTGTCTTGGTAAGAAGTCTGGATCTGCCCTGCCGCCGAGACCCGCCATGTACATCGCCGGAGTGCTAGAATAGGAGTGTCCATCGCTTCTGGACCCATGCTCGAGGGAATGTTTCGAGAGGGGACTGTTTCGAAGATCCATCGCCGGGTCATAGGAGGGCAAAAGGGGTAATGAGTACTATTGTCTATGACTTAAACGACGTTGTCCGCATTACACGCATTACAATGTTAAGCAAGCATGATTCAAGGCTGAGAACAAACAGGAGCCAGGAAGAATTGTTTTCACCTAGCCATGTCCAGAGGTGCGAGGTACTATTGGATGGGCTGGAAGTGGTTACGCCCTGTCGTATTTACGGGTTTCGAGTGGTGCCCATTCTCCGCTAGTTGCTTCTGCGGATCCTTCAGAACTGATTTCCATCTGGTCACAGGGCGAGTAGGGCGAGGAGTCGAAATGGTGTGTGTGGTGGACGGACGGATGCTTTCCGTGCGCTAGCTTCAGCCACGCCCAAGATTGGAATAATTCTCTGATGGCTGCTTGGCCACTCTTAGCTGCACCCGCTGATACCTAAAACTCCTCCATGGACGTGAAGATATACACACCGCCTCTGGATGTAGGCCTGTATGGAATCTCGACCTGGTGGCATCTACTCCATATGGCCATGATCTTGAGAAGTTCAAATGTCACCCACCGGCATCTGCATGTAGCCGTATTCGCAGGGTCCTTTCCCCTTGTTAGACTCCTTCGTGGGGTGTGGTTCATGTCGGCAACTGTGTCACGATTTGGATCAATTGCGGACGCCACGAGGCTACTTGCTGGGAGACTGGGAATACTAGCGCTCCATGCAGCCACCTGGTAACAGCTCTGTCGACCCGTCTGGACCATGCTTGGGGCAATGCCGGAACTGGCCCTGATCACAAATAGAAAAATCGGGCGTGGCCTAGCGCTCAAGTGCGGCAGACAGCCTTCAAAGTCGGGTTGTGTGGGCGGGCTGGGGCATGGGACCTGGGACCTGGGACGTGGAATAAATATCCTGTGTGCTCAAGTGTAGTAGATACCTACCATACGTCAAGTACGGAGTACCTGGGTACGTATTTCGTATCGTGGTACAATACTCTGAAATCGAGAAAGAGTGTACTATGCGTAGGTTGATCCGCCCATCGGCCGAAGCTCGACATCGACAGGCTGTCCAGTCCATTCAAACTATAACAGAAGCGTTTGCGTTAGTTGGTGTCAGAAGGTAGTTATATATTCCCACGAGGCTGAAGTTGCATGCCAGCTTACAGGATTGGCTTCGTATGCCGTTAATGTGATCCGTATTGGCGAGACAGAAAGAGGCTCTATCTAGTGACTCTCTCGCTCTCTCTCTCCTCTTCGTGGCGGCAAAAAGGCACAAAGACACGTACCCGAGGAGTAGGTATTCAGTCAACCGTACGGAGCGCACAATGGATGTTGTACATGTACAAACGGAGTTCTCTATATCAATCATGGCCAGACGTTGAAGGCTGTTGTCGTGACCTTGCAAATGTGCGTGCTCCTGGACGTCAAAGTCCAGACCCAGTCAGACCACAGTTGATCGATCAGCTTGAGCATTTCAGATGTCCCCGGCGCTTGACCAATGCCTGTTTGGCCGTTGACCGTTGACCGTTGACCGTGAACCGTTGACCGTTGACATCCGTCGGCTGGTCGTTGGCCGCTGGCTGTATGGCTATTGTCTTGTTGTCACCTTGATGCCGGGCCTATCCATGCAGCGGCCGCCAGTAAGAGCCTTGCGATGGAAAAACACAGCGAGTTTCACCAAACTCGACTGCTCCTGGCATATTGATGCCCTCGACGAGGCACCAAGGTACTGCTGCGACCTGGCCGTTGGGACCTGGCTGTTGTTGGGGGTCAAGCTTTGAGCTCGGGACGCTTGCAAGCCCGCGTTGTGCCTGTTCTCCATCTCATGCACGTCGTCTTTCTCTTCGCACACCACACCGTCCTTGCCGTCACCCCCCCCTCCTCCATCGCCACCACCTACACACAACACAGTTTGGTTGGTTGTATGCCTGGTCCACCTGGTCATGGTCTCAGCTGCCGCCGGTCGTACAAGCCATCCCCAGGGCCGTCCAGGATCCCGGTCGTTGGCTCCCATGCCGTCGAGAATGCCATGGTGCGTCTGTAGAGTTCGGTTGGCGTCTGAAAACGCATTAGAGTCTAGAAACCACACTTGTTCCTGCTCCTTTTTCCTTTCCATCGACACTTGCGAGCCGACTTTATTGCCCATCACCCGTCATCGACACCATTGTTTCTTCGGGGTGCCATTCTATCCTCCTTCAGGAGTTTGATTGAGCCTTCCCAGACGCCCAGATATCCGGGTGGCCCTAGTTCGCATCACTCGGCATTCCAGTACTACTAGCCATCGATCCATCGACCGCAAGATAACGGCGCTACCGCCACCACGACTGCTATTACTACTACTACCGCTGCGACTCAAATACCAAGCTCTGGGAAGTTTCGACCAGTAATACATTCCGATTTCCATACGCTTCGAGTCTCAAACCCTCGTCTCTAGTAGTTACACGGCCGCAAACACATGTCATTGCTGTTGGATTACTTGTGCTTATTCGAGTTATATCAACGACTTCACTTCGGTGGGTGGTCTATATTGTGTCGACGACAATCTGAAACATCCTTCGCCCGCTACACCAACGAGTAAGGTAATATTGTTCACACGACCGAATTTGGAGATATTTGTTTTACCGCGGTGGCAGAGATTTTTGCTCCCACGATCGAGGGCGGTCGCGGACCGTCCCCAAGTCGCTCTGTCTCCCATGTGCGAACGCCGGTGTGCGATATCATGGCTTCCGAGAACTTGGCAGAGGGCAATGCTGCCTCACCTGACATAGCTGCGTCGGCCGCTCCAATTGCCGCACAGGATCAAGTCTCACAACAGCATGAACTCGTCATTCCTCTCGTTGACGGTGGCCCAAAGCGACCTGCCTTGGAAGCGTTGAACGCTGCGCCAACTCACCACGATGAAACCCCTCGTCTTTCCGACGGCCGGCGATTCCTCCGGGACCCCCTCAGCCTTGCGCATCAAGGAGGGCGATCTCAATCCCAAAGCCCGCTGCGGCTTCCTATCCCCTCGATAACCCCCGGCCAACTGGCATTTTCCGCGATGCAGTATTTGCCCGTACCCGTCATTGTTTTAAACAACTTGAAAACAGTGGTTCTAGCAAACGAGGCCATCGGCCGCATGATGGGCCTAACATCCGAGACCACGCCACAAGATGATGCTACCGCCGCGCTTGAACATCTTCGGGGTCAAACTTTATCGCAAATCGGGATCGACATGTTGCAGGATGGCAGGCCGGTTTGGATAACTTGGGAGTCCTTTTTGGATAGTCTGGTGCAGGAAGTTGGCGTTCGTCCGCCTCCGCCGCATGCACAGCAACCTCAATTCCCCCAAGCAAACCCCGGTGATGCCACTCCTACGCTAGACTTGCCGATCCCTGCCACCGAGCCTCGCTGTCCTTCGATGGCTCTGCCTTCTCAGGACGCTGTCATTGAAGTAGTAGTCAGCAGGAAGGACATGAATAAGACGACTTACGACAGTCGATATAAAGCCAGGGCCTCCGAGTACCAAGCATTTGCTAAAATGATTGTCACTGTCTGGGAAATTGAGGATAAGCAAACCTTCTTCACTCTCACATTTACAAACACCAATTCTGCGGCCTCTTCACCACCCAATACTAAGAAACTTGTTGCAAAGCCGAGCGTTTTGGAAGCTGCTCATCGACGGACAATTGCAATTTCAGCTCCATCGTCGGTTGCATCAAGCCGGGACTCGAATTCACCTTCCTTCTATAGCCCAGGCATCGTCACCATGTCATCAAGCCCATTCCCTCCCATGGGCCCGCCGTCGCTTGCCTCGCATTCGAGCACGCCATCCCTGCTGCAAAAGATAACCCTCATGAAGGACGCCTTGCTTGACAACCACCAGATGCCCATTCTCGCCATATGGAAAGATGGCAGCGTCATCTTTCCTAACAAAGCCTCGAGACAGCTGCTATCTCTGGATGCCGATTTAGATAGCTGTGACGACGGCCTTGATCTTCTACGGAAATGGGACCTATGGGATGAGAATTTTACTAGAAAATTAGACGTTTCTGAATACCCCATTTCTGTTCTCCTTCGCACAGAACGTCCGTTTGCGAGCATGCGCGTTGGAATTGTAGACCGCGACGGGAAGAGGCTCATACACGATGTACTTGGCGAAGCAATCCGGGACGATGTCACCGGGGAATTTCTAGCTGCTGTGGTTACGGGCCGAGATGTAACGGTTATCACGGAGCAAATCACTCAAATAAAAGAACGAGATGACGAGCGTTTCAAGCTGATTTGTGATACAATGCCGCAGTTAGTTTGGACGGCGTCCCCGGATGGACTTCACGACTTCTTCAATACTCGGTGGTATTCATATACTGGCCTTAGGCCGGAGGAGTGTCTCGGCATGGAGTGGCAGATGCCCTTTCACCCAGACGACAGAAACGAAGCACTAACCCGATGGAAGCGGTCTCTAGAGACTGGCGAACCGTTTGTAATGGAGTACCGTTGTCGAAGTAAAGAAGGCGAATGGAGATGGTTCCTGGGTCGTGCCTTGGCGGTGAGAAATAAAGATAGTGGTGATATCGAGAAGTGGTTTGGTAAGACGAATTGTAGTGGTCTTTCGGTGGGAGAGCAAGGGACTATGCTAATCAACGTCATACAGGCACATGTACCGACGTTCATGAGAGCATTGAAACCAAATTTGATGCCAAGCGAACTCGTCAACAGCTCCTAAGCGTCATTGCTCACTCTCAGGTCACCATCTTCACTGTAGACCCGAACCGCCGCGTAAATATGCTCGAGGGTGCCTTGATATGGAACCATACATATGAAGACGTTCACGACCCGAGTCGATGGTATATCGGAGAGAATATGCACACCGTCTTCAACCGACTTGTGGATCAGCCCCCGGAGGGCGAGCAGCTAGACTTTCTACAGCCCATCGAGGACATACTGCAAGGACGCACTACCGAAGACGTTAAAGAACACGGCCTAGATGACCGCTGGTACCGGACTCGCTTTCTTCCCATGTATGGCAAAAAGACTCACGACGGCAAGACGACAAGTGATAGTACCATAGAAGGGGTCATTGGTGTCATTATGGATGTTACAGAACTGCGCGACCGAGAAGAGGCCTTACTGAAGCAGTCGCGGGAGAAGCGAAAAGCGGTGGCGAATGAGGCTGCTGCGAAGGAAGCCAACAGATTGAAGAGTCAATTTCTGGCCAACATGTCCCATGAAATTCGGACACCAATTACAGGCGTTCTTGGCATGGCCGAGCTGCTCAGCCATATGGATTTAGATGAGGAACAAAGAGACTATCTTGATAATATTCAGAGCTCAGCCACGTCTCTATTAACAGTCATCAACGATATTCTCGACTTTTCCAAAGTGGAATCTGGCCGATTGGACGTTGAGGAAGTTCAATTCTCTTTGTCATTAGTTGTCAAGGAAGTCGTGCGAATGCTCCGGTTTGCTGTGGAACGAAAGAACCTCGATTTCCAATCAGACATTGGGAGTGATATTGAAAATGACATGGTTGTCATTGGTGACCCCGGACGCGTACGGCAAATAATCACAAACCTACTAACGAACAGTATCAAGTTTACAAACCAAGGTTATGTGAGATTCTCTGTCACCACAGAGTCTGAAACATCTGATTCGATCAACATCAAGTTTGTCGTTGAAGATACTGGTATTGGCATTCAAGAAGATGTACGGAAGAGGCTCTTCCAGCCTTTTAGCCAAGGTGATGCGTCTACGGCCCGACGATTTGGCGGCACCGGTCTGGGCCTCACGATCTGCAAGAACCTTTTGGACTTGATGCATGGACGGATTATTTTGGAATCAACTGTTGATAGCGGAACGAAGGCCTCTTTTTGGATTCCCTTCAACAAGCCCCACGGGCCAAGACAATCTCACCCAGTCCAGAGCGGGGCTATTCCAGATCGATTGCAGTCGGATTTAAGTATATCATGTAATAGCTCCGAGTATGACCAGGTTGGGGGCACATCTACGGGCTCTGATGGGATCGGAATATCTTCGTCAATTCCTCGTCGACGCCTCTCCGTACGCACTCCTCCTTGTGTCGATCAAGACATGCCTCGAACCGAACGTGCTAAGACGCATATTCTGGTCGTTGAAGACAAGTAAGCCCCAATTCTGTCCGTACCATTGCAACTGAAGAGGATTTACAAATTTACTGACAACACCTCTCAGTCCTGTGAACCAAATGATTGCCATAAAGACAATCCAGAAACTTGGCTTTCAGGTCACTGCAGCATGGAATGGCAAAGAGGCCTTGGAGTACCTGATGGCCACTTCTCGAGGCCAAAATATGAAGCCAGACATGATATTGATGGATGTGCAGATGCCAATTATTGACGGATACAAGTGCACGCACCTCTTGCGTCATCACTCCCCATACAAGACTTTGCTGCAGGATGTCCCAATTGTGGCTATGACGGCATCTGCCATCCATGGTGACCGGGAAAAGTGTAATAAGGCCGGCATGGATGACTACCTGGCCAAGCCAGTGACAATGAACATACTTGAGAGGATGCTTATACGGTGGTGTCTGTCGCGACGCAAGGTATCAGCAGCAGTAGAGGAATCTTCGGACTGCTCTCAGATCAGCGAACATTGCGATAATGCAGGAATTCCTCATGTTGGGGTTGAAGAACAAGCCACCGGGTCCGAGCAGCGAGTCCAGGATGAACTCCATGGCAGCCCCATGACGCCGAGACCTTTTAAGACAGCGAACGGCCAACCCGAACCATCGCCACTTGATTCTCCTGCTGTCCCCGGGTTGAATGTACAGGTGAGGCATCAGGAAGGCGAGAAAGAATTGTCCAGCATGCTTCAAGAGAATAAGTTGATTGATGCGGCAGGTGGTCCATCCTTTTATCGTACCCCGTCGTTTCAGGGACCAAGCTCTGGAGAGGCGTTGACTGAGGAGAATATGAAGAAGCTAAAGAGCGAGACTAGCCACCTCGACAGGTAATTATCCTGAAGAGAGACCACACCATGGTATGGAAGAGGTTAAATTTCACGCCAACCTACCGAAATGCGTTGAACCGGACACTTGAAACTACTATTTCAGGTTCCAGACGGACAATTGGCGCAGTGAATAATTTCTCATCGGCATACCATATTATTGCATTAAAACACAGAAGAATGCATCCAGTCCCTAAAAGACACGACATATGAACCCTTTATAAAAGACAAGGAATAATTGCGTAACCGCAATGGGGGGCGTTAGTCATGCATCACGTTAAGCTAACGCTGACCGCAATGACCGTATATGCAAAAACACCCTTAATACATGCATCAGCAAAGAGAGGGCTATATACTTGCATTAAGTATGACTTAGACTGATTTAAGAATTATGAGACATTGGCACATGGCGGTGGGTGATTTTGGTGGGGGGCACTAGTATTTGGATATATCTTGAACAGGAACATGCATGCATGGCGAAGGGAGGCAACGCCTGTCGCGGGATATTTTAAACCAATCTGGCATGATTGGAGGTAGATGGTTTTTATTCGAGCGTCTTTAAATATAATACATGGGAAGTGATTGTACATGCGCCGAGTGGTGATAGACGTGCCTCCTGTGGAACCGTGCCATGCACCACCAATATGAATTTGAGGAGGACGCTGCTGACTGGAATGGGTTGGAACTCGTAATGTATCTTTCGCACAAGGTCGGACTGATACGTGGAAAAAGTGTGGCAATATTCAGGACACCTTGCAACATGATTGATTGCCCTGCTCACATGTGTCGACTCATAATTCAAATATAAAAAAAGAAAAAAAAAATCATATCCGCTACCCAACATGACATATTTGTATTTCCTGATGTGTACATAACCTCACCTGCATTAAACCAGGAAGAATAAATCCCAAAAACAAAATCTAGAAATGCTCCTTCCAGAACCTAAAGTTGACCTCCCGTGCAGTAGCAGCCTTACACGCCGACTTAATGTCACGAGCTGAGAATACATGTTAGACATTTGGCTTGATCTTGGCGTCAGGATGAAGTTTGAGGTCCAACTTACCAGCTGCGGAGGGACCGCAGAAATAGACACCCACTGTAGTTCGCATGCTACCCTCCAAACCGCTCAAATACGTCCTGTCAAGGATACCATCTCGCATAGTGCTGAAAAGCCTCTTAAAGTCAGGGCGACCGAAGTGAGTCCTTGATTTGAGTTCAGTAAGCGGGTCCATGTCGGCGCCTACGCTGTTGAGCACAATATTTTGCGTGGTGTCCATATCGAGCTTCTGAGTGAGATAGGTGTGAATCTTGAGGAATTCTACGCCGGAACTACCGGGGATGCGGGCAGCCTCGTTGGACTGCTCTTCCAGCGACGACAGCAATGTCTGGAACCATTCGAAGGAACCGGTGTCCTTGCAAACCCAGATGAATTCGACACGGCGAAGTCGGGTAGGGGGATTAGGAGAGTTTCGAAGATGCCAAATATTCTTCAAAATAGCCGCCCAAGGAGTGACTCCAATACCGGTACCAATCAAAACAGCGATTTCGTTTTCGAAGACGTCTTCGGCGGGGGCTCCATAAGGTCCGTCGATTCGGAGGCCGGGCATCTGCTGTCCGTTCTGCAGAGCAACTTCATACATACCCATGGGGTCAACTCCTTCATAGAGCTTGGCTTGAGCGCCACCAGCACCAGTCGCATCGCCCAAAGCTCGAGTAAAGTCTCCAACCTGTCTGACGTGGATAGACACGTATGGGTCGAAGGGGCACGATGTGATGGTGAATGGATGCCACTGGTACTTTGAGATCGATGGGACCTGAATGAAGAGCCACTGACCGGCCTTGTACTTGAATGATGGCTTGTTGAACTGAAGTTCGACGACATCGTAAGGGTGGCGGACAACCCTGGTAATTTTAGTCTCCCGGCGAGCTCGGATTTCACGGTAAAGACGCTCAATCAGGTAAAAGCCTCCAGTCCACAACTCCCAACGCCAGCCAAGGTATCCGATGCAGTGCGTCCAGTATGCCTCTCCGGCGAATGGCGAAAAGGCATCGACTGAATCACGCACAAAACATCCGACGGTGTGTGTATACAGAGCCAGCAGAAAAGGGATGAAAAGATGGTGGGTATACCAGAAAGTTTCAAACGACTGCTGACGGATACGAGAATGAGCGGTCGTATACATGAGCAGCATGCACAATAACATGACGTGGCCAGTAATGCCGCCTGCTTGAGCGTAGTGAATTTGGAGGGCGCTAACAGGACGGATCTGTGTTTCCTCGACGTTGAAAAAGTTGACGTAATGGGCGGCGACGTGGAAAACGGTAAAGACTAGCAAGGCATAGGCAAGCTGTCTATGAAACCACAGATTCTCGTCGAGAGGGAGGAAGCGAAGCTTGGGTCGAAGCCAGCGCATCAGTGTGCGGCAAACAGGAAGAAGAATAAGCATTCCGTCAACGCTAAGCACCAGACCGGCACCTCGAGAGATCCAGACGGAGAACTTCAAAGTGTTCAAGCCGGCTAGTCGATCATCCGCAGCTTGCTTGTACCTGTATTGCAGAGTATTAGACCACTGTTCCACTTTGGAGGATGAAGAAAATCGTCAAATCCGTATTTGATAGCTCTATACTTACCATCCATAAGCAAAGATGCCCCAGTGAAATGTCCAAAAAAGGATGTGGAACATCATCTTCTGAGGGGTGAACTGTTTGCGAATTAACTCGCGGTAACCTAATTGTCCCGCCATGGTGAATAATGTGACCGCTTGCCGAGCCTTGAGGATGGTTTCAATGTCGACCGGCGACAGAAGTGGACACAAGCACCAAATATCTATACAGTATTCTTGTCCGGGCTCTTCCCAAGATTAGTCGGCCCGTCCGGAGCTTAAGACACGGCTCTCTTGCTCGCCCAGATGCACAAAGTGAACTTCACAGATATCGACTCTCGGTTGACCAAGTCTACCCGCATGCGCAAATCTTCGAACCAATTATAGTAGGCGAAAGTCGAGGAAAGAATGTAGACACAATTAGGCACGAACAAAATACAACAAAAAGAGAGCGATCTGAACCAGCAGTAGCGAAAGGAAAGAAGTCCAAGCCTCTGCCAAGACGGAGAGAGAGAGCAAAGATAGCAATTGAAGGAAACAGTGGCGCAACGTGGTTAAATGATGCTGACGAGAGATGGCGGGAACAATTGTCCAAGGCAGTGACGGATCGAATGAGCCGAGTCGCAGGTGAACTGGGGATCTGACACTGGCGGAACTGTAGCCAGGCTATCTTTTGCACCCGGGAACAGCAGTACAGTAAGCTGCGTCTCATTGATCGTGAAACTTTTGATTCTGCCAGGGAATATCTAGCCGTTGCTCACAGAATCAACAACGGGGGCAAGGGGAGGAGATAAAAAGGTGGCCTGGAAGTATGAGAAGTGCTAGCACGGTTCAGAATCGTAGATCAGGCGCTGCAGAGGTTCGGAAGCCGCGATGGACCCTGTTAGTTGGCCGAGATTTTGGAGATGGGATGGTATGGAGGAACGGGGGCATGCGACAGTCAGTGCGTGAGGCTGGCTTCGAAACCTTTAACGTTATGTCGTTGGAGTTATTCGCGTGTTTCGAAGGTTGACGGGGTTGGTTATGTGCGGCAGATGTCAGCAACAGGCGTTCATGGTGAGGAACGCAGAGCAAGGCTCTCATTCCCTTTGAGAGTGCAATGGCGAAATGAAAACTCTGCTGCGATGGATAAGACTGTGAGGTTGATGGTGCCGTTTAATAACGAGCAAGGCGCCTGTCCGGTCCCATGGTCTTCCTGCAATAATAACCTATGCCGCCTGTTATGCATCGAAGCCCCCCCTCTTGGCAAGCACTTTGACCGCAAGGGCCTCGTGTGAAACTGGCAAACGTTGGCTCGACTCAGGACGTCAATGGTCGAAGAATCATGACATCGGCGGCCACCAAACCTCTTTAGGAGAGGGGCCACTATTCCGGGCGCTTAGAGATTGGGGTTGAGCCAACGAGATGTTGGACACGGGCCCCGGATGGATGCAAGGTGACTACGCCATCGTCAGGTCGATTTCTCCAAGCGTTCCAAACGGTCTAGCTGTCCAGTGCTCGGGATTGTCTGTAACAAATGGGGCCGGGGCAGGGGGTCAGCGGCTTCGACCTTGGACGTTACGACTGGGGTCATTAAAGTCGGGCTGGTCCAAACCGGAAAGTCGGTATTGCGGAATCGCGGTGTTGCGAAGTCGTACAAGCGCGTGCGGCACTTCTCATCAGACTCAGGACGAGCACCTGTTCAAATGCAGCTGGAAGACTGCGTAATAGGCAAACAACAAGAGGCGAAAGTATGGACGAACGAGTTTGTTGCACACACCAACGCCGCGTACGATATTCAGTATTTGAATATTCAGCCAAGGGGGCACAGCTCTTTCTATGCGCCAGTGGTACGATGCGAGGAAGGAGCGAGGCATGAAGATGGCCTCGTCCACATCCCAGTCCAATGGCGATCAATGAATGGTATGATCATGACCGTGACCACCAAGAGTCCTCGGTGCCCATTTAAACCCATTTAATCCCCCCACGCCGTTCCAACGTCACCAGACGCAGTGCCGAGTCCTGGCTACGCATTCATTATTAGCACCGCGAGCCTTGCTCTCTCGCAAATCTACCCCGAAAACTTTATCAAGTTCAGATGTTTTCGGGGGCTTTGTCCATCGTTGTCTTGGTTGCTTTCATGGCCACCAGACCATGCCCTGGTTGGTGGCACCTTCGGACCCCTGGTCGTCTCATCATGACGGTGATGAAACTACGCACCAGAGATGAGACAATTGCCGATACAGCTCGGTCCCTGCGGTCAGCGCAAAGTGCCAGGTGCCAAATGCAAGTAGTAGACCGAAGGAGGAAGGCGTCTTTCCAATACAGGTGCGTCGCACAGCAAGTTCAAGCGATAAATCATAAGCCTGAATGTCACCAAGGTCGAGTCGAGTTTTTGGACAACATCGGCCGGCTAAACATGGCC